ATATCTTCTAACCTCTAATATCAGCTGCTGCGCCTGCTTTAGAAGAAACACCTGCTGCTGCAGCTGAGGCCCCTGCTGATGGTAAAACAGACTACCAGAGGATTAGCAGAGATCTTAGTAAAACTTGAACCTCTTACAGTAAAGCTAACTACACTAATATCTAATGCTAATATCTTCTAACATCTAATGTCAGCTGCTGCGCCTGCTACAGAGGAGACACCAGCTGCTGCCACCGCTGAGGCTCCTACTGATGGTAAAACAGACTATAAGGATTAACACAGATCTTATATAAGTATTATTACAACTTGAACCTCCTACAATAAAGCTAAGGACACTAATATCTTCTAACATCTGCTATAAAATTCTAATATCTTCTAACCTCTAATGTCAGCTGCTGCTCCTGCTACAGAAAAGACACCAGCTGCTGCTGCTGAGGCCCCTGCTGATGGTAAAGCAAAAAGCGTCAAACAAAACTTTTTAAAGTATTATTAAATCTTGAGCTGTCCACCTACTACAGTTAAAGCTAACTAAACTAATATCCAATGCTGATATCTTCTAACTTCTAATATCTAATGCTAATATCTTCTAACCTCTAATATCAGCTGCTGCTCCAGAAGAAACACCAGCTGCCGCTGCTGAGGCCCCTGCCGATGGTAAAAACTCACATGAGCCACAACAGATATCTTATTTACTTTATATTATATATTCTGTTTGAATCTTCAAGTAAGGCTTACATCACTAACTGACTTCTATATAACACTCTGAACAAAGTCTACAGTCTAAACACATACATTGCCATCTGTTAGAACATGTCCAACCTGCTTGGTGTACTAATTATTAATATCTAACATTTAATAATAGCGGCTGCCGCTCCAGCCACAGAGGAAGCTGCTGCTGACTCCGAAGCACCTACTGATGGTAAACCAACCTGCAGAAACAAAATATGTTCACTCCTCTCTCTTTAATATCTGAGTTGATTTTATGTGAGACAAATTGGATAAAAAGCCTTTCATTGTTAGCATTGTAAATCCTTTGACTTCCCACTAAGGGAGACAGAGAGCTGTGAGGTACATAACTGAATTTTATTCGATGCTGCAGCATCGCTATGCTCATCACATGCTGCCAATAATAATGCAAATGCCTATTTAACATCAGCTGAAGCTGCTGAAGCTGCACCAGAGGAGCCTAAACCACCCACACCTCCACCCCCTCCACCCAAAGGTAACCTTCTATTTAGAAAGAAATCTCCCATATGATTCTACTTTCAACTTGTTCTCTTGTTTTTATTACAGTAAAATAAAGAGCTGCGTCATCACCTCTCATGAATCTCCACTTTGCATCAGTTTCTGATTTGAACTATTTTGTGTTTTTCCTCCCCTTTGCAAATGTCAGTTGAATAATTAAATGTTTTTATGGTTTCTGTAGAGCCCACAAGCGCTCCACTGGATCTGTTTGTTGAAGACAAGAATGACACTTCAGTTTCTATCATTTGGAGCCAGCCAGAGATCATTGGACACTCCGGTCTGGATGGATACACCATTGAAGTCTGCAAGGATGGAAGTAAGTCCCGCTCTGCTTCTGACCAGGTGTACTGAATACAGGCATGTGCATGAAAGGGGTCAGATTATTAATACACCCTGGCAAACTGTCAACTGACCTTTAAATGATTTTGAAAGCTTTTATAACAGCTGATTTTATGTTTTTGCATTAGTATCATTATATGTCTACTATCTATATTTCTATCTATAATATTTAAATGTTTTTTAAATACATGCAGGATCCTGTTAAATTGCTGTTTTAATGTGGGTCAGCCATATCGGTTGCAGCTGTTCCTGAAGTGTCACTCGAGTTATATCATGAGCTACCTAACTTCTCCCTACAAGGAAAGAGGCATTTCAGGAGCTGCCGTGGTCTTGCTGGAGGTCCTGCTTTTAGACTTACAGCCTGACGCTAATATCGGCAGTAGTTCAATGCAGGCTTGATTTAGCAGACAGGACACACTGATTACCCACAGAACAGCAATTTTATATCTCATACAATAAATTTGTGTCAAACATAATCACTCTATTTCCATTACAAAGCGGCACAACAAGCAGCGCTTATTGTCCTGATGTATCAGTTCTGTATGAATTAGATCTGTTCCTCTCAGTCTGGCTGCAGTTCTCACAGTCAGTATACTTTATAATCACAGTCTTAATCGTATAATATCGAGATAAGCGACAGCTCTGTCAATTGTGCCAGTCTGTCCTCATTATTAATATTTTTTCCACTCAGCTGAGGACTGGAAGGCAGTCAATGAGGAGCTGCAGAAGTCCTGCCGCTACGTTATCAAGAACCAGACCACCGGTGACCGTCTGAAGATCCGTGTGGTGGCTGTGAATGTTGGTGGCCGCAGCCCCCCAGTTGCCCTCCCTGAAGCTGTCCTGGTGAAGGAGGTTGCTGGTAAGAGGTGTTCACAAAGATCCACAATAATCACAAATAAGTGACAAAAAAGTATTTTCTCTATTTTCTCTTTTAAATTTGGTACTCAAACTCAAGTACAACATGTGTCTGGAACTCAACCTCAAAATTTGATTTGTAATCAGTTTATTGCTTCAGGGTAGTTTATACTATTTGACACAGGTCTGGCTTAAAGGTTATAGAGCCATTTATTATGGGAAAGGGGAGTTGTAAAGTGCAGGAGTCAAACCGAAGCAGCTCAGCAATGTTTGCCTCTTAGCTGTCCGTGTCCTGTTGGCACGTACCTGCATTGTTAACGGCATAAAACTGTGTTCTTCTCACGCTTTTCCACTCTGAGTTGAAATGTTAACCACAGTCTGATAATTACACACTTGTTAAGTAGACGGTTTTAGTAATGCTGTACACCTTTCAGTGTTAATCATAGACAGTATATTGAAAGTGATTCACGGTAAAATGATGATTGGACCCTGAGGGCTTTAAAAGGAGGAGCAGCGTTACTTTGGCTCACTCACAAATCATCTTTATGCGTAATGGAGACCTGAACAGGAGGGGAAGGCAACTTGATCCCAGCTGGACTGGCAATATTTCAATAGTCACGTCCATGTTCACCGTCATGTTCGCCATAGCAGGCGCTCCACGTATAGACCCAACTTATCAATGGTTTCCGACAAAGCGACCACAAAGTTTTGGAAAAATAGCTGGCATGTCTCCGCCATTAACACAGATTCTTCTGTGGAAGGGTTGGCATTGCACTGTGATCCCTGCCAGGATTCATGCTGAGGGAGTGTCAAGCTCCTCTTCTGCAAGATCGATGGCGACAAGTGACTGCAAGCAGGTGGGGTGGTGTGGGGGAGGAGAGGGGTAGGGTGGTAAATTCCAGTGTGTCCCGTCCCTGCATACAGCGGAGGGGGTGGTGGTGTATATGGATCTAACTTCTCAGGTGACACCCAAATCTCATGACACTTCCAGAGATTCACTGTTTATTTTGAAACATGCCACAGACTTTGCAGGGAGAAAGTTCATTAAGCATAATCCTCTCTCTATGAAGTGATAAGACGCTCAACACGTGTTATATTTGTTCTGATATACACAGAATAATATGCATTTACAAATCATTTGCTTTTAGGAGCTGTCTAATAGTTTCTGTGCCCTGCTTAATTTATCTATAATTTTAATGCTTTCTTTCTGTGAGTGGAGGGTAACTGAAGCTCCCAATCATGCATCATGAGGGGAGGTGATATACTACAGTTCGTCTGCTTTATTTAGAGTCCTGACAAATGTTGCTCTGCTGGACTCAGCAGGTGGTGCCTCTCACCAAATCACTTTTACAAATGAGCCTCAGCAAGACACCCCTGAGGCTTAAGTATCATTTTGAACGTCACAGTGGCTAACTATCCTTGTGATTTTCTTTTTATGATGATTTATGAGCTATTTGGGGATTTTCACAAGCTAATACACACTACACTTTTTGAAGGGTGGCTTCTGAGCCAGGATCTCACAGTTAGATTATACACATATTTGTTAAATGAGCCACCAGGGCCCCACAAGCCGGTGATATTATCATACCTCTTTATATTGATATTGATTTTGATTCCCTTTTTACACCTTTTACTTTTTTAGTTTCATATGTTAGTTCAACTTACTTTTTCCAATAATGCAATTGTATGTGTCATCTCACAACAAACTACAATAAACTAGAAAAATCTAAATCAAGGTTAAACCAGTTAAAAGTTTTATTCTGAGTGAATATTAAATTAAAAACAAATACGTAAAACAACTGTTTTATGATATTTTATTAATTTTTGCAATATAAACAAATGCATAAATTATTTAATAGACAAAGCATAGACATATGAACAGTTCCTTGTTCTGTATCATTGTGTAACTACATCCTGCCATTAAAAAACATTAAAATAAAATCTATGCACAACAGACAGATACATCACAAAAGGGATAAAGGATCTAAAATATAGTTACTACTAACCATTTAAATCACAGACACACCCTGATGACGCCAGTGAAAATTCCCTGGCTAAAATGGGCTTAGATCAGCTCAGCAGGTTCATTGATTTCCTCAAGATTTGTTGCTCACAAAAGAAAGTTAAATCTTCATCTTGTTTTACTCCAAATAATCCCCTAACAGATCCTAGCAATCCTTTTCCTCCCTTTCACCGATCCCCTGTGAAAGCAGCAGCTAGAATACCTTTAAAAAGGCACTCATTATAAAGGATGTATAAATGTTGACTTATAATAATCACTGGTTGTTTCTACAATTGTTTTTCTCTATAGATCGTCCCAAGGTCCGCTTGCCTCGTTTCCTCAGGCAGAGATACGTCGCTAACGTCGGAGCTAAGATCAACCTGACCATCCCCTTCACAGTAAGTTGAAGATGAATATATTGAATGTGTTCAAACTCTAAATAACTCATCAAAATTCACTGTCTAATTGCTTTTTTTTTATTTGCTTTTTTTTTACCCAGGGCAAACCGAAACCTGTGGTCACCTGGACCAAGAATGGGCAGCCCCTGGACACAAAGAGGGTGAACATCCGCAGCACCGACAGAGACAGCATCCTGTTCATCCGTACAGCCGAGAGAGAAGACTCTGGTGTGTACGAGATGTGTGTGAAGGTGGAGGACTTTGACGACAAGGCTTCACTCATCCTTCAGATTGTTGGTGAGCAAAATGTTGAGAGTTGAAACGGAGGGCATACGATTGTCAAAGATACAGTGAAGAAGTATGTTTTGGAAGCTTACTATAATTATTTATAGTACTTGATACCTAATCAGTGCCCGGTTGTTCACAGAGCTGCCAGGGCCTCCTGCCAGCGTAAAGATTGTGGACACCTGGGGCTTCAATGTTGCTCTGGAGTGGACTCCACCCACTGACAATGGAAACACAGAAATCACAGGTTACACAATCCAAAAGGCAGACAAAAAGACTGGAGTAAGTTTTCACTATCAAAGGGTGTCTGAATGCAAAAGTCACAATAAATTACATATGATGATTATTAATAGAAGGATACAATGCATTCAGTAAATCCTGAATACTCAAAACCTACTCCGCTAATTCATCATTTCATTACTGTGTGTGTCTACAGGACTGGTTCACTGTGTTGGAGCATTACCATAGACTGAATGCCACCATCTCTGACCTCATCATGGGCAACACCTACAAGTTCAAAGTATTTTCTGAAAACAAGTGTGGAATAAGCGAGAATGCTACCATTGCAAAGGAGGAAGCCAAGATCTTGAAGACAGGTACCTTTTTCTGAATGAATCATATCATTAATTTAACCTATCGTCTGATTGGTCCTTCCTTGTCTTTCCAATCCTGTTCCATTGCTCTTATCTGCTAGTAGGCTTTCACTCAACTAAACAGAGTCACATTTGAGCATGGAAGTTCATTCTTGACCTTTGGGAACAGTGTATGCAACTAAATAATCTACAAGCAAAAGTCCCCTTGAGCTGATTCAGTTGAAAGATCAGAAAGCTTGTAAGTGGACCTTTAAGCTTAGATATTTAAAGATCCAGATCTGACTTATAGTAACACACAATTGCAACCATGCAACAGACATTTAGATTGATCATTCAACCAAACTAATGGGCCCCCCAAAAGACTGTATTGACATACAGTTTATCAGCTAAGGTATATATATCGTAGCAGCTTCATTGTCTTTGTCTATCTGCTTCTCTTCCATCCTCCAGGTATCGAGTACAAGCCTCTGGAGTACAAGGAACATGACTTCAGCGAGCCACCCAAATTCACCACCTCTCTGAGTGACAGAGCCACCACTGTCGGCTACAGCACCAAGCTGCTGTGCTCTGTCAGGGGATCCCCAAAAGTACAGTAACATTCTTTTTTAGCTCAACCTGCATCATATTGTGTCCCTTTATTCCACTAAACTAACAGCTTCAGCAGAACATTACCACCACAAGAGCACCAAAAGATAGAGCTGGAACTGCAATAACTCCTTGGTTTGCTGAAGTGAATTCTGAGAACTCATATTATTCTTTAAATATTCCTTGCACATAGACTCATGGAGTTGGATTTCCCGACAGTGTAGCTCATGTGTTTCAGCTACCAAATTTCTAATTCTAATATGTCATTAAACACATCACTAATACAGAAGTTCCAAAACAACCCTGGTCACTGCTGTGGCACTTAATAAGACAATAATAGAGGTAATTTCCAGTTTATTTTTACACATTTTGTTAAATGAATGGAAACAAATGGCTGCCTGGAAGTAAGAATGCAGTCGAAAAACTTAATGGTATGTTTTGGGAAATGGTTTGCAGTTATGTAATGGCTGAAGCCTATAAAACCATTGACACAGTTCTGGCCTTTGGCAGGTTGAAATGCAGACATTTTACATAGCTGTAATTTTTAACTGATGAACAACTGCATACAGTGTTTGCTAGATTGAACTGTAATACCACCGATACCACTGATCAAGCTACTTGTCAGCAGCTTGGCTCTGAGTTGAGGATGTGTAAGATCTTCACTTGGCCTTGTTAGCCTGATGTCTGAGCCTCTCACCTCCTGTTTGGGCTTATAATCCCACCAGGTCACCAACAGGACAGCAGTGTAGATGGTGTCGGTGAGAGGACTAGAATAGATATTCTTTGTAAGCAGCAGAGAAGAGAGAAGAGGCCATAAGGGTGACAAGTCAACAGGGTCACATGTGTAACATTCCCTGTGGGACCCCAGGCAGTCCTCACCATGTCAATGCCATTAAAACTCCCAAAACGGGGGTGTGCTGTGTGTCCACTTCAATCAAATGGATTTCTTTCCTGCCAAGTAGCACAAACATAAATAGAAACAACACTGCTGCTTGTTTATTTGTGAGATGTTGAGGGGATTAGATGGTTTAATATATCTACCATACTGCTTCAGCAAAACAAAAAACAAATATCAAATGTATGATCTGAATCTGTTTTCTTCTACAGCCCAAGGTTCAATGGATGAAGAACCAGATGATTATTGGAGACGACCCCAAGTACAGGCAGATCTGTGTTCAGGGTATCTGCTCTCTGGAGATCCGTAGGCCCGGTAACTTTGACGGCGGTGTGTACTCCTGCAAAGCTAAGAATGATCTTGGAGAAGCAACTGTCAGCTGCAAGCTGGAAGTCAAACGTAAGTTTTAAAAATACTCTTTTTAGTCATATTTATGGGTGTTAAAATTGTATTTAAGTGGTAACATTTGCTTTACCAGTTTTTGAGTTTGAACCTTTTGAAAACTAATAACTTGTCTATTTATTAAACAGAACCAGCGGTTGCAGATGCAGACAAGAAATAGATCAACATTCACATTCTCACAGGTCAGAAATAATCTCATTTGAATATTCTTCTTATCTCATTTGTGTTTGCTAAATACACTTAAGTCAAAAACAAATTAAAAATCAAAGTTCTCAACAACCTTATAAAATATACTTGCAAATATAGTCTAATTGTATTATTAATGCTGTCACTTGTAGTTCAGTTGCACAGTGTGAATATCTGTGAAATGAATGCAATGAAAGTTTAACAATTAAACTGGATGTATTGGATAGGTTGATCTATATGAGTCCCGAGGTGACATCTGCCGTCTCTGTGACTTTCTTTCCATACATGGAGGTCACTAAACTTGGAAAAGGTGGCCTCTGCCACTGAAAGAGTCCAAGAGGTAGCACCCATAAATTAAATCTGCGATGGCTCCTCATGTACTCGGTTAGCTGACTTAATCACATTTCCTTGACTCAGCAGCAGCCTCCTTTAGAACACTGAGCAGCCTACTCTCAATACTAACACAGTTTAAACATTTTTGAGCTTTAATCTGTGCAGTGGTTTTATGCATTATTACATTGCTGGATGAAGCTTATTTTTAACACATATATTTAATAAAATACAGAGAAAATGTTTATGTATGGCTTATTTTCTTTTATTCTTTTATGTGATTCTGAATGGCTGCCATCTCTACAACTGCAGTACTGAGCCCTTTTTAACACCTGTTATGTGTTCATCTGTTGCAATCCCAAATTAGGAGCAGAAGGAATGAGGCCTTTGCAGCATAAGGTGTGTGACGCTTTTAGCCTTTCTAAAACTGTAGTCCACAATGGTGAATACAGAATTTAATGTTTAAATTGTTTCTTTATCTTTTCAGGAAGGTGCTGGATTCCTGAAAGAACATGTATATATGGCTGGTGACCACAGTACCAAAGGGTTGTTGCCTGTGGCCTCTTGCCGAGTGTTACCCGGTGTTATGATGAACAATTGTTGTCGCTTTATGCCTTTATTGTTCATTTCATTATATTAAGTCCATATCCATGTCCACAATCAGCTTTTACCCCAACCATATTGTCACAGTTCCTCCCTAGTTCATCAGTCTGACAGTCTAACTAGGGGTACACCAAGAATTTTACAACATGATTTTACTGTTCCTCATAGGAGAACTGAATATAACATCTACGTGTTTATATCAATAAATAATTTAATTTCTGGTTTTGTTTTTTCAATACAGTGTGTTCTTTAAATTGAAGTCTCCAGCAGAAGTAGTGCAAAGGCTACTAATGTGTACAAAAAGTTAAAAAGACAACTTACTATTGTGCTTGACATATGAACCAGTATTTTAATATCTTTGCACAGTTTTAATAATAAATTAAGAAATTACCCTAATAAAGGGATAATCATGCATGTAGTACGCTTAATTTTATGTAGAGTTCATATTTCATAGTTTTAATTGAGCAACTGAGTAGCAATACAACATATAGAATAAATGAAGTTGAATGACAAATTAAAATTTACTTGGGTTTAAATCAAATCTTCTTTAAAGGAAATTCCTGTTTTTCTTATAATTACCAACAAATTTAAATGATCTTTTTATCATAAAAGGTTACCAAGATAAAAATGCATTAACCCTGTTTCAGAAACTGTTTTGAAACCATTCTGATAAGATTAGCTAGCGCAGAAAAGTACTGTATTTTCAAATTGATTTAATTACTTTCCACTAGAGTTTTACTCAGCTGCTAAATGTATGAAGCCCTGTTGGCAGCAGACCAGTGAGAATCTGGAGACAGCAGCACTATTCATTTGGCTCATACAGACCCAAGAGAACACAGTATGCCAGGACTTCCATAATAATAATACCAGTCTATAATACTGATCTTGTAACTATCTGGACTTGGAGTTACTCGCATAGTGATGCGGGGCAGGATGCCATAGATATCCAGGTTACAGAGACACATGAGTTCACACAGAGGCTGACAAAATTAGCCTCAGTGCTCCATCTTGCTCAGGCTATTTTGGGACCAAGAGGCCCGACCGGCAAAATGTGGTTTTCCTGTTTCCTTATAAAACGGATGGAAAATAAATGCAGTTAGAAATTAGGAAATTCCATCATTATCTACATTTAAAAGAATCAAAAACACACTTTCTCTCCCACACATGATGTGTTGAGGTTGTATTAACCAGATTTTAAACAAGAATAATGTTTTACAGTTGTCCACATCCTGAGTATTGCTGTGTATAGATAATAAGAAAGTGTGTGGAAGGTGTGCTGCAAAATGAGTGACCCAGCTCTACAGTTGGAGTTTAAAAAAAAAAAGCTCTTTGAGTTTGCCGTCCTCTAGTGTTACAATTGAGCAATGACATCTGCATGCCTTCTGAAAGTGGGAGGGTTGAAAGAGGCATTTACCTCCACATCAGAACAAATGAACAGGTACAATTCAGTAATCAAGAAAGAACAACACAGTTAACATTTGCTCTACAATTCTTTGAAGAGATATCTGCCATTTTGAGCCGCCAACTTGTCAATTTATACGCCATGCAGCTTTAACCTGTGGGCTGGGAGCCATAATGGGTCTTAGGCCTACTTCTGGTGGGTCCCTGGATGCTGACATGCTGCAATAGGGTCATGGAGCAAGAGACTTCCTGTCTAATTTAAGTTCTGCACTGAGAAGGTTTCAAGCATCAAATGAAAACCGTTATTAAATCACTGATGTAATAATAATTGCATATATTAATGTTTGAATGTCTATAATTCCTATTGGGTTATTTTTTTAAATCAGTTTCTTTTTTGTGGTTAGAGTTTAATTCGGGCAAATATCATTTAAGCAAAATTGGTCTTTTAGCTGTGCTAGCAGAATGTCTCTGGGGATGCTGGCAGTGAGTCAGTCCACTACTTTGGTCCAGAATGAAATATCTTAACTATAGGCTGAATTGGGATACATTTTACACACAGATTAATGGTCCCCAGGCAAAGTATTCTATTGACTTTGTGACAGGTGCAGGTCTAGAGGGGTGGCATGGGGTTGTAGCGGCCTGGCCAAATAATTATTTTAGATTAACTTCATAAATAATGTGTAAAAAAACGGAAATTGACAGATATGTATTTGGTAAAATCTATGTAAATTTAGATATTTCTATCCACTGCTTTCCTAATGTGCTCTAATAATGTGATGTTTTTTAGTTAAAATATCTTCATTTGGAGGCTTTTCCAAGCAAATATTGATTCAATCAGCCCATATTTCCACCACCCCTTAAAATCTTCATGCCCACCCAATGAATGCTTTTCTAGATCCATCCCTGACTCCATGATCCTCTAGCACCACCCTAAAGTTCCCCATAGTCCTACTTTTGAATGTACTGACATTAAATCTGGTACACACATTTGATCCTCTGACTTTTCATCCAATACCATCTGCAGAGCAAGTTTCAGTACTGTGATTTATAACCAAATACCCAGACATTAATGATACTCCCATCAGCCTCAGTTGTGCTTTGTGTTTATAGCCAATTAGCAAATGTTAGCATGTCATTCTCATTTAGCTCCCTCATAGAGCAGCAAGCTGTATTCTTGTAGTCAGTCTGGTTTCACAATTCCATTTTCATTTTACGTTTGAGGCTCATTAGACTCCCTGGTTCACCTTTATGAATGCAGACCGACACAGCTGCTTCAGGCTCATATACTGAATTATCTCTGTGTCTCTGTTTCATCTATTAAGATTTATTGCCAAGTCCAGCACGAGGCAATCATACAATATCCTGTGGCTGAATGATTGGATCCCATGAAAACTTTTTTTTCTCTCCATCACTTCCCCCTCAAGGAATAGAAGCAAATAACCACAGTGGGATGGAAAGTTCATAAAAAGGCAGAATGCTTTAGGGATGCAGCATCTCTGACTCATCTGGTCGTGTTGCTTTAATCGTTGGTAATGCACTGAGCACTGCCTGGTTGCTGCTATGTCAAGGGTAACGCCAAAGGCAATGAAATGGTGTGTCCTCCTTGAAAGGAGCCTGCCTGCTATTTGCTGCAGAGGTTTTGGCAACGTTCCCAGAAGGTTTAATAAATGTAATGGTGAAACTGGCACTCACACCACTGTCCTCTCGTTGCTTTTCATTACCAAATGTTGCACTGCTAAATCAGCTGGATAGACTGTCTGAGGACACTTTTTATTTGAAGATTTATTTAGGACTTGGGCAGTTATGGCGGTATGAGGATGTGATACAGTTTAAAGCATTCTTTCCTAATGTCCCTGATATCTCTTATTCGCAGTCTTGTTATAATATCTCAAATATATTCAAATGTTCTGATTAATGCTGCTTCCCTGTGTCTGAAGTAAACAGTCATTCTCAGAAACCGGCCGTATTGAATGGATTTCCCTGGAGAAACCTGCAGTGGCATTGTGATGCAGCTCTGCTCAGCTGTCCAGTGTAGGAAATCAGGTAGTATATTGATTTCAGATGGCAGAATGAGACTTCATTAAGTCAATTTAATTCAATTTGAGGAAATTAATTGTTGAGTGGGAAGGAAATTAAAAAGCAAAGGCAGCTCAAATGTTTAGACATGTATGTTAAGCCTTTTTTCCCTTCTTATACATTAATGGACATGGATAATCCTAGAAGAAATGCTCATGAAGCATGTCAAATGTTTTGCCTGCAGGCAGCATCATGCTAAATTTAATCATTTTCTACAACATACAGTTTGACTCCTGCTTGACTTTCACATTTTTTGTTTAATTAGATGACTCTATAATCTCTGTCTCCTTAATGAGGCAGCAGCAGTGATCTGTGTCAGTCCTGCAGCTCATCCCACCTTCTGCTCTTTTAAATTATTCACAAGTTACATGCTAGATGCCTGTAAACAAGGAAGGGAGGAACTAGTTGCCTTTTTATGTTGCTGCTGCGGAGTCTGCTGGAGCTTCACATCAACTGCTGCTACAAGAAAAAAAAAAAAGGAAAAACAACAACTTCCCATCTGTGTTCTGCCTGCCTCTATACTGCAGCAAAACCAGCCCGAGCCGACCGGTAACACCCCCTCACCCACCCCCACCCCTCTCCTTCTATCCTCTCTGGTCCTCACACCTCACTGCACTCAGGTTCCTGCAGAGTTCCTGCAGCAGGGAGACAGGACCTGAAACCATGCTCTGTGAGCGCCGCTGCAGACTGCTGGTTACCATCTTCACCTCTCCTTTCACTACTCATCGATTCCCGTGCTTTTGCATTGCCCTCCCTCCCTTCCCTTCCCCCCTGCGTCTAAATCTCAAAGCTCAGCACTCCCTGTATGCCTGTACTGAGGGAAAAAAGTGATGGAGCAAGAAAGAAAAGAGGAGGAGCACAGTTGTTAGTGCGCCACAGAAAATCTCACTCCCCCCCCTCCCCTACCCAATTGATGACAAGGAGGGTTTTTATTGAGCAGCTCCTCAGCCAATGAGAGAACAGTGCCGGGAAATACAGCAGTAGAACTGCACCGGGTCTGATGCTTGTGCTGATTTCAGTGTGTTAGAACAATGTTAATCTGTGTGAGTGTTTCCTCTCCCCTCTGCCTGATCTGAGTACAGCAGATCTTCTTCAGCAGCACCTTGATCCGAGGGAACTCTTGTTTGAGGGTGTCCTGCTTCTTGGACAGAAACACCCCCAGGTGAAACTGGGACCTTCCAGCACTGGGTGGTTTTGAGATGTCTTTTGAGAGTGGGATTAACCACAGTGCAGATTGTTAAGATTTTTTTCTTCCTGTCAAGAGCATATCTGACCCTGTTCTCTGCTTCCACTCCTTGTTTAGGAGGCAGCACTTCTCTCTTCACGGTAAGCAGCATTTCTTCCTCTCTGTCTAAGACAGCATCATCAGTTACTGGGGCTTTGCTGCGTGCCAGGCTGTCACAGAGGCACCTAGCCTCATTACACACATCCTGCCTGAATGTGGAGGAAAAAAAGCTCTGCAGAGAGAGAGAAAGAGAGAATAAATGGCTCAGGGGTAATTAGAGCAGACAGTGTTAGCGTTTTGCCAGTCGCCTCTCATTTTAATGCAGTGTGTCAAGTGATATTAAATCTGCCAAGTGGAACTTTTACAGCATGCTGGTAAGTCCTCATGCCTGGTGCGTAGCATCATGTAGTGCTGCAGTATAATCTTACATATCACAAACAAATGTGTGAGGGTAGAACTTGAGATGGGAATTAATTGCACTATAGAGAGAACACTAAAACCACGTCTCATTTGTTGTTTAT